TGAATTGCTTTTTACGGTATTTGTCTATTCTACAGGGATGTTCTCTTCTTCTGTTTTAGGATGCATCATGCGTGGGGAGGAGAATTTGCTAAAGTAGTTGTTTGTCAGGGCACCTGGGTGTCTCAGTCGGTTCAGCGTCCAACCTCGGCCCAGGTCATGCTCTCACGGTTCCTGTACTGCCAATGCAGAGCCTGCTTTGGATCCTCTGTCTCCCTGTCTCTCTGCCCCTCCCTGCTGGTTCTCGTTCCGTCTCTCTCAAAAGTAAAGAAACATTTAAAAACAATTTTCTAAGTGGTCATGTGTCAAAATACTTTTTCTAGTTTTTCACTTGTCTCTAATTTTACTTGTGGTGTTTGGGATACGTGGAAGCCTCGAATATTCAAGTAATCAAGTGAAATCTTTCTGCCTTTGAAATAAAAAAGATTTACTGGTATGTTTGCCTAATACCTAATGATTTTTGTTTTTTTATGTACATATTTAATCAACCTCAAATTCATTTTTATACAGTATGATGTTCCTTTTTATTTTCAAATTGTTACCCATTTCTCTCCATTAGCATTTATCAATCTGTCTCTTCCCACACTGATAGGAAACTCTTCTTTTCCCATGCCCTTCATTATATATATTTTTAATAATCATAGAATTCCTATTCTGGTGACCTTTTGGTTTCCTCCTTGTACCTGTTTTACTTCTGTCACTTTATTGTGGGGGCAGAATTCAAAGACAGCCCTCGAGATTCCCCGCCTTTCTGACCTATACCTTCTCCCAAGTTTCAATTAAACACTCATTTATGGACCCCTTGGAGAAGATGAAGGCTCAAAATCAGTTAACCTTAAGATAGGTAGATTATTCAGGTGGGCCTGACCTAGTCACCTGAGCCCTTTAAAAGCAGAGAGTTTTCTCTGACTGGACTGGCTGACTGCACGGGAGGAGTTAGACAGATGTGTTCTGGTCGGCCTGGAAGGAAACAGGTGTGCATCCTGCAAGCTATCCTGGGGCCACATGGCGAGGAATAGCAGGCAGCCTCTGGAAGCTGACAGTGGTCCCAGCTCCCAGCTAGATGGACCGCGGGGACCCCAACCCTACAACCTAAGGAAATGAATTCTGCCAACAACCGATGAGCTTGGAGAAGGTCCCTGAACCCAGATGAGCCCTCAGCCTGGATGGTATCTTGATTTCTGCTCATGAGACCCTGAGTAGAAAACCAACCCACTTCTTGCCAGACATCTGATGCACAGAACTGAGAGCTAATCAGTGTCATTTAAAGCCACTAAGTTTGTGGTAATTTGTCACATGGTAATAAAGTAACTAATATATTTATTTTTTTTAAGTTTAATTTATTTTAAGAGAGAGAGAGAATGGGGGAGGGGCAGAGAGAGAGAGGGAGACAGAATCCCAAGCAGGTTCCGTGCTGTCAGTGCAGAGCCTGATGCGGGGCTTGAACTCACAAACTGTGAGATCGTGACCTGAGCTGGAACAAGAGTCGGACCCTAACTGATGAGCCACCCAGGCATCTCAATAACTAATATATTTATAATGCCCTTTCACAATCAGTACATCAAAGCCCCATCAAATTCTTTTTCAAACTTAGCTGTTCTCATTCATCACCTTCCCAGAAGCACTTCAGATTTTCTTTAAAACAAAACAAAACATGGGGCGCCTGGGTGGCGCAGTCGGTTGAGCGGCCGACTTCAGCCAGGTCACGATCTCGCGGTCCGTGAGTTCGAGCCCCGCGTTGGGCTCTGGGCTGATGGCTCAGAGCCTGGAGCCTGTTTCCGATTCTGTGTCTCCCTCTCTCTCTGCCCCTCCCCCGTTCATGCTCTGTCTCTCTCTGTCCCAAAAATAAATAAATTAAAAAAAAACGTTGAAAAAAAAAATTTTTTTTAATAAAAAATAAAAACAAAACAAAACAAAACAAATCCCATTGACCTCTCCTGGTGTCCTTCTTTCAAATGTATGGATTACTTGGGAGACAGATGTGAATGGCCCAGGGGCTCACCGCCTCCCTCCCTGGGCGGCCTGCCAAGGAGCAGGCGGCTCAGCAGAAGGAGCGGGTAGCTGGCACATGCACTGAGCTTCAGAGGCTCCCCTTTCCCAAAGGTCCCTTTCTCAGCCATGAAGCTTGCACTGTTACGAGACTGCCCTCCCAGAGCACTGCTCACTGGGACCCACAGGCTCTCCTCCAGCCCGCACACTCTTCCCCGTAAATCCGCCTCCAGAGGAGGCAGCACGCATCAGTGACCCCCTGACCTACGAGCCCCACACCTACTGTTCCCGGCTGCTCTTGGTTCCCACACCCACCACCCCGTCCATACCCATTGCATTCAGTCTTCCGGTCAAAGACCAAGACTGTGTTCCTGTTTAGAGGCATTTATGTTCCTCGGGGATGATTTGTAATTATTTTTAAACAGATTATAACTTGTTTTTAGACTGCTTCTAAGTACTGTAGTTCTCAAAGTCATTATGACTGCCAAGCTTTTTCTATTTATAACTAATATATGCTGGGATAAAGAGAAGCGTGCAGGGTCTATATATTTTTCTTTTGATTTTTAACCGGACACTGTTTCAGTGTTTACTAATAAGTAAGGTGTAAGTTGACAAAAAATAATGTATTTTTATTTTTATTCCTTTTTTTTAAGTATTTGTATTTTTACATGGGACCATTTATCTGGGCCAGTTGTCAGACCCAGGAAGAATGAATCTATAATGATGCCATCCAGACCCTGGGCACATGACTGCAACCTTTCCTGCCCACTGCTCACACTTGTGCATGTGCTCTGGGGATAGTAGATAGCAAAAAAAGGAACATTTATCTTTTTTTTTTTAAGTTTATTTATTTTGAGAGAGCGAGAAAACGAGCAGGGGAAGGGAGGAGAGAGGGAGACACAGAATCCAAAACAGGTTTTGCAAGCACGGAGCCTGATGTGGGGCTCAAACCCACAAACTGTGAGATCACGACCTGAGTGGAAACCAAGAGTCAGATGCTCAACCTACTGAGCCACCAGGTGCCCCAAGAACAGTTGTCTTCATCGCTTAACTGCTCTCACAGGTCAGGTTGCTTCATTTCTGGGAACCTTAAACTCAGGATTATTAACCAAAGTGTACCTTCTTTGCAATGGCGTATGAGGCCTCTTGATAGAACGTCTCACAAGGCACCCTGGTGGCCACTGTCCCTCAGCTATTCAAAGTCAATTGTATCTCACTACTCTCCAATCCAAACAGATTAAAACTTCTTGCTGCTCTCTGGATCTCTTTCCCTCAACATCTCAACATTTATTTCCGTTCTGCTTTTACCAGCAATGTTCCCACTATCTCCATAGCCTTCACGGTGGGAAAAAAAATGTGCAGCCCTTAGACTTTGCTGTGCAATAATGGAGACTGCCCCTCCATTGGCAAGAACTCCAAGGTCCAGAGTCCACACTAAAGACATGGCTTGCTAAGTAGCAAAATTAGTTCCTGAATTTGTAGATAAATTTGTTTCTGATGCTCATATCACCGCAGGTATAAAGAAACACAGTTCTGGGCTCCTCCACGTAGTAGACACCTGACTCCACTGCCAGGACACAGACTTAGCAGGGCCTCCATGAAATGTGTGAGAAGCCATGGGGACCGATGTCCACCCATCCGTGACTTTGTCCCGTGTGTATCTGGGCATGATTTATTCACAGCTTTGAGAGGAGGTCAAAGTGAAAGCGATCTTGAGTGGTGATCACGTCATTTTTGCCGGTCCCTGAACTCAGCTCGGATTCTCTGTTCTGAACAAGCTTAGCCCCATTCTGGGCTGATATCTCACCTAGATAGCTAGATCCTCACATGTATTTTTACTCCAGTCCCCTTCCCAGCTCACCATGCCACCCTAACTCTTGACAAAGTACTTTTCTGTCCAATACTAATTCTTAATTGTTTCCCTCGTCTTTTTTGTCAATAACTGAACTTGGCCCAGATGTTCGCTGCTGTGTTTTCCCACGGAATACTTAGGCCTCCAACTCTTTCCAGCTTAGTGGAAAAAGCAGAGGGGACAAGCTTGTTCCAAGAGCTACCTCTAGACCACTGAGTCATGGCTCTTTTCTCTGCTGTCCTTCGCTTAATCAAGGTCCTACCATTCCTACTGGCTTAAGAAAGTTAAGATATAAATGTGTTTTAGAATGCAACTGATCAGGATATGAATGTACAGTAAATTTATTACAAACAAGAATAAAATTATTAACAATGATAAAATGTGGGGGGAAAAGGACTTTATTTGTGCAGGAAACTCTTATTACCTGTAAAATATTGTGGAACTACCCGGAAATAGTAAAGTTTTTAAACTATGTGTATAGTAATGTGCACAAAGTTATTCCTTGTCATTGTCTTTAATAGAAGTTATGTATAGATTACATAGTTAGCCATTTCCAATGAATATGGAAACAAGCATAATGCTCTCTTCAGTTTTCCTAACCATCTACTATAGTACGTATGCTTTAAAGAAAAGGACAATTCTTGGGTCCCTGGGTGGCTCAGTCTGTTGATCATCCGACTTCAGCTCAGGTCATGATCTCCTGGTTCATGAGTCAAGCCCCGCATTGGGCTCTGTGCTGACCGCTCAGAGCTGGGAGCCTGGAGCCTGCTTTGGATTCTGTCTCTCCCTCTCTCTGCCCCTCCCCAACTTGCACTCTGTCTCTCTCTCAAAAATAAACATTAAAAAAAAAAAAAAAGAAGAAGAAGAAAAGGACAGTTCTTGGAGAAGACAACAAATTCCAGGAAGACAAGGTGCAGTTCACTTAAACTTTATTACATATTGTTAATATAGTTCGTAGTAAGAGCATACACTAAGTCAGGTTTTCTTCTATAAAACTGTATAAAATTAAAGATTTCAAACTGAACTCTTAACACCTAGATGCCATCTATAGTTAAATTTTGGCTAAAATGTTTGAAACACTCAGTAAAAAGAGAAACTATAGAAAATCTTTTATATGTTACCAAAAAAACCTGTGGACCACACATTACAATTTAGAAGGAGATTACTTAAAATATGGATTGTATGCTCTTCTAATTTTCATTGAAACAGATTTAATCCTGACAGGGGAATTGTTTCTGGTCCATGTGCCCCACTGAATCCCGGTCGAGACCAATTTTCCAGGGAAGCGATGAATGCCGTTTAGATTTGCCAGACCACACTGGCTGAACCACCAGCCAGTGTTGTTACTGAGGCGACTACAGCTTTTCACAGACTGACCACTGACCAGGCATGCAGGGTGACATCCGTCATTATCGACATCCGATGTGCTGAAAGGCATTGCATTTTGGTTATCTTCTTTTCTGAAGCCCCGGAATCCATCACCTGGGCAAAACAGGTTTTTTAAATGACCAAATTTAAAGGTACTTTTTGTCATTTTAACTGGCCTTTACCAGACTATCTTAACAAAGCATGGCATCTAGAACTAAGGTTTACATTATTTTCTACTAGCTATCATATTAAAGTCTCCCCTCCAGTTAGGCTGAGCACTGGGTGTTGTATGGAAGTGATGAATCACTAAATTCTACTCCTAAAGCCATTACCAGCTTGGATTTAAATAAAATTTTTTTTTTTAATTTTTTTTTCAACGTTTATTTATTTTGGGGACAGAGACAGAGCATGAACGGGGGAGGGGCAGAGGAAGAGGAAGACACAGAATCGGAAACAGGCTCCAGGCTCTGAGCCATCAGCCCAGAGCCTGACGCGGGGCTCGAACTCAAGGACCGCGAGATCGTGACCTGGCTGAAGTCGGACGCTTAACCGACTGCGCCACCCAGGCGCCCCTAAATAAAATTTTAAAAAAGTAAAAAATATGAAAACAAACAAAATCTCTCCCCCAGATTGCAATATACCAAAATCTGGTAATGAATTCCTCAACATGATAGGCATCTTTAAGTGGCTCTTTGGTACCAAATCACAATCCACAATGGAAGTTTGGCTCTGTAGACGGAATCAGATAATTTAGGCCAAAAATGGTGCTGTACAAACCTGTCATACTTTGGGGAAGGGTAATGTGGTAATTGGTAATTTAGGGAAAAGAATAATTTCTACGTAATAATAATACATAGTAAGTTTTCATGCCACCTCCATCCTCCATCACTTTAAATAAAGAGGCATGGATGAAAGGGAATCTGCTACATTAAGAGGCTTACATTTGTAGCTGCACAAGTTGTTTGGTTTTATTTAGGGGCCCCCAGGTTTATATCACATACGCAGTTACCTCAAGCATATAATCAGCTACCTTCCTGAGGTGAGCCCAGAATGGCTCTCCACATGACACATGGAGAGTAGCTCAAGTACTACCATTCCTAAAAGGTCCACACTGGGTTCTGCGTGTATGGTTTCCCTGATACTCGCCAAAACCTGAAAGAGTAAGTATCTTGGTCAAGGCAGCCCATGTAAGTAAGTAGCAGGGGCAGAAGCCATGTTTTGTTTGAATCAAACTATATAAACAGAAGGTTCTAATTAGTCCCATGACACCTAGATTCCATTTGCAGTAAACTGTGCTCATCTTTTGGAAACACTAACTTAAAGTAGAGCTGTGCTAAATCTTTGAAGAATCCAAAGCCCACATTTGTTTCATCATGTTCCAAATGTTTGGCATCTCTTGAGATAGGTCTTTGAGGAGCCTGGAGAACTTGATACGTGGTAGTGGCCCATCCTGTTCGCCAGCTGTACTGAATATTAAAGCCTCTTACTCCACACCTCACAGGAAACAAAATGCCCACATTGCAGGTATTTGCAGGGAGAGTGTGATTTTCAACACCCACACAGTGCAATGCCTCTCAGATTTCAGATGAGACAGCATTGAAGGAGCATTGCCTAAGTTGTACGGTCGCTCCACAGACACTTTCCCTGAACAAAGTCCACCCATCAGAAGGGAAATGTGATAGGAGCTCCCCACTGGATTATATTTATAAACAGTTTTTAGGGGCGCCTGGGTGGCGCAGTCGGTTAAGCGTCCGACTTCAGCCAGGTCACGATCTCGCGGTCCGTGAGTTCGAGCCCCGCGTCAGGCTCTGGGCTGATGGCTCAGAGCCTGGAGCCTGTTTCCGATTCTGTGTCTCCCTCTCTCTCTGCCCCTCCCCCGTTCATGCTCTGTCTCTCTCTGTCCCAAAAATAAATAAACGTTGAAAAAAAAATAAATAAAATAAAATATAATGCATAGGCCTGTTTTTAAGAAATAGCCCATTAAAACTCAGTATCATGTTTTCTGTGAAAGTGTAGTTACAGAACATGCCCTTTGTTTTCTCTGGGAACCCAAATAAATCTTTGCCAGTTTTAGAATCAGGAATATTTGTCCTTCTCCTGGGAGAACTGTTTGCTCAAATGTTAGAATTTCATATTTATGGTTTTTCTTTGAGCTAAAAATCAAATTTGTAGCTCATCTCTACCATGCACCTGATCACACTTAACCCCTGGTTTCATCTGTGTTTCTATCTCCATGTCCCATTGGCATCTTTTTCTTTATTTTGATTGTATTGTGTGATCAACTGTTGAAAGTTAGTTTACAACCTCATTGGGAAAATGCAGAGTAGGGCATAGCAAAATTTGAGGATTCTGTAATGAAACACTTGTGTAATGACACACTGAGTCTTCTAACTAGATCTCAGTCCAATAGAGAAACCCCCCACACACTTTTACTAACACAGTAGCTTCCATATTTAGATAGTTCTTTACACTTTTAGAGAGGCAGCATTAAAAATTGCATATTGTAACTCTTGAAAGTTTTCCTTATCTATCAAGATTTGAATTTCAGACTTTTTACCTAACATCCCAAGGTGGACAACTGTACCAGACAACTCTTCACTCTCAGAAATTTTCCTCCCACTGTGCCTTGACTCAGCTGCTTTCTTTGCCAACATTCATTTGCCAAAAGCCTATCCCTTCCTGCAAGCACACATTAGTGGTTCTCAACTATAAGGTTGCCAATACGTCCATCTTTGAATACAAATACCTGGGCCCAAACTTACTGAATTGGATTCTGCAGTAGTTTGTACTTTTTTTTTTTATTTATTTATTTTTTTTTTCCAACGTTTATTTATTTTTGGGACAGAGAGAGACAGAGCATGAACGGGGGAGGGGCAGAGAGAGAGGGAGACACAGAATCGGAAACAGGCTCCAGGCTCCGAGCCATCAGCCCAGAGCCCGACGCGGGGCTCGAACTCACGGACCGCGAGATCGTGACCTGGCTGAAGTCGGACGCTTAACCGACTGCGCCACCCAGGCGCCCCAGTAGTTTGTACTTTTAAAAACCTTCCCACATTGGATCTAACATTAACTCCTTGCCGGAAACCACCCTTCCATAAAGATTTTCCAGATGCGATCAGTGGAGATCATTCTCTCCCTCTCCTAAATGTCCAAAGCTCTATCAGTATTCAGTATTCCACATTTCTGGGTTTATCTCCCTTCTATATTATAATCAGTTAAAGAAGTGGGAACATATCTCACTCACTTTTGGATTTCTAACACTAAATATACATAATTAACAAGTACCATGATGAGAAACAACAGGAGAGTTGAATTTAGTATTAACTCAAATTTAAAATTTCAGCATCAAATTATAAATTTAACATGAAGTATTTTGAAGTTCTTAAAAATTAAATTTATTTGGAAATGAGTAACGCACCAAGGTATAGTGGGGAAAAAAGCCCACCAAACTAGTGGCTCTATCAACCTGGCTTCTTGCCCTGGCTCAGGTGTGATGAGCTGGGGCAAGTCCCTAATGTTTCAGGTTCCTTACCTGTACACTGAAGGAGAGCGGCTCTAACATTCTGTGATTCCTAAATGCCAGCCTCTCAGAACATGAAAACGTCAATAATTCCTTCCCAGCCTGCCCCACTGACTCTCCTTCTAAAGAATCAGCTGCCATGATACATGGAAAATAGTTTTAAAGAATATAAGCTCCTCAAAGACACAAGGTGGGTCGATGATCGTAGCAGGGTTTCAAAACTCAGTTTTCTCATCCCGAATCTACTGTTATCAGTTATCTGGCATAGACCAAGCGAAATAACATTACTTTTATCTTCACCTAATATCAAGTCAGCTATATTTATCCTGCATCACTGGGGGGGAGAAAAAACTTACCAGCATTTCCTGAATACCGTCCTAAGTGCATCTTAAAAAAACTTGTTTCATCTTCTAGCCAAAAGTTGTCATATGATGCGTAAGCAAATGTGTCGTCTTCAGATTCCAATGCAACATGCAGCATAAAACTGGTGTTTTTCTGATTTACTATATAAAAAATCTTTTTTAGTCCTAGCCAAAATTCACCTGTTTAAAAAGAAATGTTTTTTTAATATATTTTAATACAACTTATAATAACTCCTTATTATTGAGGGTTTGGTGTTAGTTTTTAATACTGAAATGGCTCACATAAATTATTTGAGAGACTAGATAGCCCTAGCTCAAATTCAAATTATCAGTGTTTGTCTAATTTACAAAAAAGAAAAAAAATACACACACAAATACATTATATAAATAAATATAAATATATATATATTTATATATATATAAATAAATATATATATATAAAATCTTCCTATTTCACTAAACTGGGAATAACTAGACTGTTTCATTTTTATCTCACCAAATTAAATTCAAAAAGTCATTTAACAATTGACCAAAAATTCAAGATCTACCTTAAGGCATGTCAACAAAAAGCTGTTGAAATACTGTGGCAGGTAACAAAATGATGTGTACTCAAAAATGCTAAGAGTTTTAACCTCCAAAGTGGCAGGTTCTAAAGAAACATTTCCTGAAAATGCTCACTTGCAATTATTTTTTCTGTCTTTTAGAATGATGCTCTGTGAATATTTCTTCATTACAATGCACTTTGTCTGTTACCCAGGTATAAAAATGTAATGTAATGTAATGAATGAAAATGAAATGGTGTTTGTAGATCCAGGATGAATTAGTAAATGTAGTGTTTGGATGGCATTCTTCTTGCTGTTCTAGCTAATGGTTTTCGACCCCACTCCCACCCCCCATCCCACCCTCACCCAGCCTAGCATAGCCTCTATTCTGGAATATATTCCTGTACCTGAATCATTAAATTCCTGAAGGAAGGAAGGGTCTAGTCCAAAAAAACTTGAGAGAGTTGGGGGACAGTGTGACAGCATTCACATTGTTAAAATTCTAGCTAAGATACCATGTCCCTCTCCAGGGCTCACGAGAGGCACTAACTGCACCCCACTTGGAACTGAAAAATACCGTAAGGAAGCGCAGGAAGAAAGGAGGTATATAGAAAGAAAGGTGGGTCTGTTTAGTGTCCCCAGCCCAAGACACCCCAATGTAAGTGTCCTTGCCATCCTGCCCCTCTACCCAGCCCCTAATTTGGCTTAACAGTATATTTTCCTTAATCCCAAATTTTTTTTTTGAAATATGCAAAGTACAAGGCAGTCTGTTCCCATGAACTGTACCTGCCTGAAGACATTTTTCTCAAAATTCAGTTAATTTCCCCATAGAAATAAGCATAAAGTGAGGAAGATGACAATTTGGAGCCTGTAGATCTAGGACTACTTGAATCAGGAGGTAGCACTTACCAGAAAATTAGGGGTCATGCTAAGAAAACACAATATATTAGCTGCACTCCATAACATGGCAGCTATTCAGCTTTATTCATAATACATAATACATAATTACATTTCACATCCTTTCTACAATCACTAGCCTGCAGTGGGGTTTTTGGCAACACAATACCACCACTTACTGAATCTTTAGATGACCTTATTATGGGATGTTAAGGCTTTTAAATTAAAACAGCAACTTAAAATAACAGCATAAAAGTGATCAAAATCATCTGCAAAATTTCCAACATAGGTAAAATTCTGCAGTGTTCACAAATACTAGAATTTCTGTTTGCTGGCAAAAGAAATACTGTCATGCAGCAATAATGTAAACAGATTTTACAACTCTCTTGAGGTTTACAGTTTTCAAATTTTGAGGCATTGATTCTTACTGATATTTTTATACACTCCTCCCAAGTCATATAATTTGAATCCGTACACCATGTACCTCGATTCTCCATTGGTGTAGACCCAGCACACACCTCAAGAATTTCAAGGTTCATGACAACCCTGCCTGCCATTCAGTGTTCCTTTCTACAAAAGGTTGTTGAGTATCTACCAGAATTCTGCTGGGTGCACAGTAAATACCTAATAGATACCCATTTTAAAATTTTCACTCAACCCCATTTCAGCAGGTATCCAAAGATAATGATTTCCATCACCCAACCGAAAACCCACATGTTCTAAAATAATACGACATGAAGAGAAAGTCCTATTTTGATATTCACAAGGATTTGCTATTTTTACTAATGATTTTGACCAACAGATAAACTATCAGTGTCATGCCAAAAAAAAAAAAGAAAAAAAGAAAAAGGAGAAATAAAATATGACCTAAAAGGTCACCAAATCCGTCCAGATAATCACACCACAGCCTCTGGAAATCAGTGATCCCGTCAACCCTTTTCTGTATCACAGTCCATCCGCCTCCTCTATAATCCATGTCACACATCACCTAAAACAGGCCCAGAAAAGACAAAAATCACATACTATCATTTTCACTCATTGATGGAAAATTTATGCTTCACCCTCAAGCCTAGAGAAAGAGAAGACCGTTGCACTAAAAGTTTCAGTGCAATTGTATGCTATTAATATATTCAGACATTTTTAAATCCATAGAAAGGACACTTTATTAAAAGGCAAACTTGAGGCCAACCTAATTACAGTCTCCTGTGTCAGTCATTCCATTACAGATGCAGTGTTGGTAGCATTTGAGGTCACCCTCTTATTCCTCACGTCCACAGATAGTTTTCAGTTGAGTGGTGACCCTGCCAACCTGTAGCAGAATGAGGAATCTGCTAACTCCTTCATATTAAAACAGTGATGTTTTTTAAGTTTTAACCACATATGCGTGTGGGCCTGTCTTTGATCCCTCTTTTCCCCAGAGGCATGAATGGCCTATGTCCAGATGGGATCTTCAGACAGGAAGGTGTGATCTGTGCCTCACCACAGCCTGTGATCCTGGGTGCATCTGTCAGTGCTCTGTAAAATCCCCCTAAGAGGACAATGGTAAGGACGCAGAAAATCAGATGCAGTTGTCCCCATTAGAAACTTCCTGCTCAAAGAGAAAGGCAGTGTGGAGGAAGTTAGGGAATCAACACCTTCCCATGATTACAAAAGGTAATAACGCTTCCCACTCTTCACAAAATTAAAAGTCTTCCTTCCCTCTCCATGTGGGTTCAGGCTCAGTTTTGAATCTGTAGGTGAAGCAAGTTAGGTAATTTTTTTTTTTAACGCTTATTTATTTTTGAAGGAAAGACAGAGTGTGAGTGGGGGAGGGGCAGAGAGAGAGGGAGACACTCTGAATCTGAAGCAGGCTCCAGACGTGGGGCTCAAACCCATGAACCGTGAGATCATGACCTGAGCCGAAGTCAGATGCTTAACCGACTGAGCCACCCAGGCGCCCCAGTTAATTTTTTAAGTTTTCAGTTTATTTTATTATTTGAGAAGGGTGGAGAGACAGAGAGAGAAAGAGAATCCCAAGTAGGCTCTGCACTGTCGGCACAAAGTCTGACTCAGGGCTGGATCCCACGAACTGTGAGGTGCTGACCTGAGCCAGAATCAAGAGTCGGACACCTAACCGACTAAGCCACCCAGGCGCCCTGCAAGTTAGATAATTTTAAAATTATTTCCCTCCTAAATCCCAATTTTTTAACATCTGGTCAATGGATGTCAAAAAGCAAGTTTAGTAAAAAAAAAAAAAAAAAAAAAAAAAAAAAAAAAAAAATTAGTGAATAATGTTGGTAATTTCAAGATGAGGAACTGGTGGTTTATCTATTCAGAAAAAAAAACTGTGTAATGAAGATTATCAATAAGGTGTGAGATTGGCATCATAAACTTTCTTATGCACAAAAAAGCAAGCAGAAAAAAATATGTGTAAATAACTTATACGTTACCATATATATTACTATGTTAGTATTATATGATATTATATATATCCTGCCAATAATAGATAATTTCAGATAGAAGTTTCCTCCAGAAATCCTAGACATAAGGGTAATGTATTTTGTTCAATTTAAAAATGGATTAGCTTCTCGATCTGTCTCATAGTGTAGTGAAAGCGGTTTCTTATTTATTAATTTCTTATATAACCACATTCAATCGTTTATCACCCAAAGAAAGTATAACCACGTACAGGAAGGGAAATCTAAGTATGTTTGGCAAGCTCCAAGGCACAGCACCGCACTGCTTTCTAATATCCACAAGCTAATTAAAGCGAGTGTTTCTACTGCATATTTAGATTGTATATAAGATCCTGCACGAAATGTACCTACTGCAGAGTGTAAACATGACACCTCACGTGGAAAAGCGAAAGACTCTCAGGTCCTTTTACTGGCTTGTGGTTTGGGCAAAGAATTTCAGAAAACCAAAATTGGGAAACTGGAACTTCTACCCATTTATTTTAAAAATTTCAAGGAAAAATAAAATATGAGAAGAATTAAAATTTTAATATTAATTAAATAGATAGGTTGCTTATCCTATTCCACATAATAAGGGAAGACTTTACCTCAAATGGGTAACTAGATCCTTCCGGGTAGATTATATATAAACCACTTGGTGTTTTGGTGACAGAGCCAATGGTGTCTTTAATATCAGTACAATCTAAACCTAGAAAAGTAAAATTAGTTATTTAGGATATTTTCAAGTGTACACTTAAGACTTAATCATTTTGCTGTAGAGATCTGACAGTGCTATCTGAAATTATGAATATAATTTCCATTGTGATATGATTTTAACTTCTTAAAAATAAAAAAAATGATCTCGATTTTAGAAATCAGGAGAAAATACATGTAAGAAATGAGACTAAAGAATTTATGTTGGAATAAACCTTCACTAATAACATCACTGTTAGTGATTAGCCCTCCATACTACTTAAAATTTTCATTTGGGACCCACATTGATTTAATATAATTTATAATCATGCATTCTCACCCAATAAGTAATTCCCTTTCAGGAATCTAGGCTTATCTTGGGGACATAATGTGTAAAGGAAGTCTATGTGAATGGGAAGGAGAAACCCAAATGAATAAGTTGATTACTACGGACACATCCTTGACTACTGGAGACTGCAGAGACTCTCGCTGGGGACCACTGTTACAAAGAGCCAAGGGAGAGGACAAGGAAATCCCTCCTCCCCAAGAGGAAATTATGCCTGCGGCCAGAGCCTGCACTGCCGCCTATAGTTAAAAGTGTAGCGCCCCAGAATTGCCTTCGCCAAAGCATCCCGCTTCCCAGGGGACTGGAAGCACATTCTGTGGGTAAGGGTGTTACATTTATTCTAAGACATTTTACTGTGTATTATCTTCTATAGTAATAAAATAAAATCAACCCTTATATTGTTAATCACCTGGTGAAACAAACACACGAAAGCCTGAGACTCCAGAGCCAAAAGCCTGCTTACCGCCCTAGCTCTTCTCCTCGGCAGCCGAGAACCCTTAGCGAACTCACCTGCCCGCTCTTCTTCTATCCTTTTAATAGTACTGTCTACTTTGTAGTGTTATTCTGGCAATTTACATACAAGGCATAGGGAGAGCACTTAGCACAGTGCCCGGCACACAATACGTGTGCATAAAATGTCACCTACAGAAAATTCGCTGAAAAAAATTGTTTGCTTTCCCCTTATTGCTGGAAGATATAGATCCGTTGCTTGTGTTCTGAATTGCTAAGACATTCTCACACAACCTTATGCTCAGAGCTGTGCTAGACGTTCACAACGAAGGACCGATCTGGGCTGGAATCTCCACTCTGCCATCACCATTCACATAAGTATGAACGCATTATTTAGATTTTTCTGGGCTGCATATTCCTCCTCTGATGATCCTCATCACCACAGCAAACCCTTCTATTGCCTTACATTCAGGCAGTATTCGAAGAGCTTTTCGTGTACTTAGCTATGCAATCCCCACAACAACTGTGAGGTACGTACTGCAGTTTGCTGATGAGGAAACGATCGAGGAAACAGGCCTCAGTGATTTGAAGACAGGTGGTCTGACCTCAGAGTCCACGCTCTTAACTACATGAGCTAAAATAAAAATGTAAAATAAAATGCCATGCGGAAGTGCCTTAGTACCTGACACTTAGGAGACTCTCAGTAATTGTTTATTTCCTTCCCTTTGTAAGCAAAAAAATCATACAGTAGGCCCTCAATAATAGTTATTTACTTGGAACTCTGGTGTGAATTCATAATTGTAAGAGTGATGGGCTATTTTTCTTAGAAACACAAGCCTGTAGGAATTACTACACTGCATTTGAATACAAAAGGTTCTAAATTCCAGTTTATTTCTGTCTTAAGTTCCTTTTTTATATCAAACTTTATGTCCCAATTTGAAATATTTCAGACAATTCAAAAAAACTGTTTGCAGGCAGAAAGAACTCTGAAAACTTTCTTTTCTTCTGACTGAAGACTAATTATGACTAAAATGTAAAGGACAGCCCAGAAACTAGTTACATAAAAGTGTTCCATGTGCGGTGGACTCGGGTTATCTGTGAACAGCCACGGCTTTTGGGCACCTGGAAAAGTTTCCCGATTCAGGAAAGTACATTTGTCTGGGCGGACGGCGGCCTCAGGGAACGTATTACCCCTCCAGTCTGTTAGATAATAAGGAGCTGTATTTTATAAACAAAACCTCTCAATGCACCAACCCGTCCAGGAAAATTTTACGCAATAAAAGTCAAGTAGTAAGAGGCAGAAATAGAAAAGTTCTCACCATGTGACTGCACTGGCCTGTGAGGAAGAGGGTCCAGCTGTTTTCGGAGAACTTCTGTCGTCAGAAGGAGAACTCGATTCATGAGCTCGTTAACCTGAACACACGGGCGTACCTTTCAGCACGTTTATATTTGAACAAAACTCCTTCCTCTGAATTGTGTAGCTGGCGTCCCTCAGCCTCTTACAAAGCAGCTCCGCGGTGTGTAACAGTGTCCGCCGCCCCACCCTGACGCCCCCAGCGCCGCAGGAAGGCCGCCAAGGCACCTGTCCAGTGGGCGCCGTGTACCCCACAAGTGGCTCACACCTGCCCAGGTGGGCTTGCAGGCCCCTCGTGGACGCGAAGGCACCTGGCGGGGGGTGGGGAGAATTGAGGCCGTGTACCCCTTAAGTGGCCACACCTGCCCAGGTGGGCTTGCAGCCCCTACTAGTGGACACAAGGCACCCGGGAGTGGGGAGTGGAGCGCCGTGTAAACTCCCCATAGTGGTCCACCTGCCCAGGTGGGCTTGCAGGGCCGATACAGAGTGACGGCCAAGGCACCTGGCGGGGGGGCAGTGAGTGGGGGGCGCCGTGTACCCCGCAGGTGGCTCACACCTGCCCAGGTGATCTAGCAGGCCCCTCGTGGACGCGAAGGCACCTGGCGGGGAGGGGGGGGGGGGTGAGTGGGAGGCGCTGTGTACCCCGCAGGTGGCTCGCACCTGCGTAGGTGGGCGGCTCCCCCGCCGGTCTCCCACCCTCGCTCACCTTCAGACCGGTCCCCAAGTGGGTCCTTCCCCTCCCCGATCACACACTACTGGCTGCCCCTGTACACCTGCCGCCTGCCCGCACCGCTGCAAACAGCAACCCCGAGCAGAAGAGACTCTGCTTTCTGAGCCGTCTCTACGGCTTCCGAAGCAGGTGTGCGTCTTCGGAGACTCAAACCTCTGGCTCTCGCACCTGGAAAGCTATCCCCTAGCGCGGACCTCGGAGTTCTCTTCTGCAAAACGCTGACAGCGTTCACAACAGGCTTTCAGCGCGTCTTCCTGTCCCCTTGACTGCGCACCCCTGGAGTGAAGGTCCATTTTTTTGTGTTTGTTTTTGTTTTTTAATGTTTGCCTGAGGCTTCCTGGGATGCCTCTAATTGAGCAGGCAGTAAACACATGTCTAGACACAAATGCATTAAAAAATTAAACAGTTGCACCTCTAATTGTATCGCTGTATCTGTGCAATAACAACACAAGAGGAAAAGGTCCGTACCTGACTGGATAAATAATCCAAGGAGGTTTGTTGCTCATCCATCATGTTTCTTAGCAGTTTTTTGGTACTTCGTGTGTAGGAAACAATAGAATTTTGCAAATTTCCTTAAATCATAATAAAAAGTGTTTGCTAAATATTGTTAGAGAAAATACGGTGAAAAATAATGAGCTTAAATGATTTGGGATAAACGTAAGACACAATATATCTCCATCTATCTAAATACTCCAGTTAGTATAACTTTTGTTTAACTCAGGATCACCCAAGAAAATAATTGTATCCACACTGGTTAATGAAACTATGCTTTCTAATAGTTTAGATTACCCCCAAATAAGTGAATCTGATGTAACAGAGAGACAGCATTTTGAATATTAATTTTCACTTTATGAAATGAGAGTTACAGGGGCACCTTTGAGGCTCAGGCAGTTAAACGACTGACTTCAGCTCAGGTCATGATCTTGTGGTTAGTGAGTTCAAGCCCAACGTAGGGCTCTGTGCTGACAGCTCAGAGCCTGGAACCCACTTCAGATTCTGTGTCTCCCTCTCTCTCTGTCCATCCCCAGCTCGTGGGCTCTCTCTCTCTGAGAAATAATAAATGAATAAACTTTATAAAAAAAATAAGATGAGAGATATGGAAGGAGGAGGTCTGGGAGTCCTCAATCCTTATCATATAAGAAAGGAAAAGGCAATCATCTATATCATGCAAGTTAATTTTCAAAATAAATATTTCTTTTGTTCTATTGACGCTATGTATTTTTATATAAACAAATGGCAAACAAATATAAATGATAAATCTTTTTTTTTAATTTTTTTAACGTTTATTCATTTTTGAGAGACAGAGAGAGACAGAGCGTTGAGTGGGGGAGGGGCAGAGAGAGAAGGAGACACAGAATCTGAAACAGGCTCCAGGCTCCAAGCTGGCAGCATGGAGCCCGATGTGGGGCTCAAACTCACTGACCACAAGATCATGACCTGAGCCAAAGTCGGACACTCAACCGACTGAGCCACCCAGGCGCCCCTATGAATAATAAATCTTAGAGTTTTGGTTGGTTGGTTTCTGATTGAACTATTTTCCTTTTTTTAGAAGGTTGTTTTTTTTTTTTTTTTATATCAAAGGAATCTTACTCAGAGAATAGTTGCAAAAGCAGTTTAAATAGCTTTCCTAAATCATTTGACACCAGGCTGCCATGATGTCCCTGGATATTTCAGTCTGTATTTCTTACACCAAAGACATTCCTTACAACACAACTCTCAAAATCGGGAAGTAATCATTGACTGCCACGTATTCCCCGGCCTCATACAAATTTCGCCCTTTACAGCAAAAGCATCTACACATTTTTGCACACATTATTCTTTAAGAGGTGACTTTACCTCTACATTCCTAATTTTCACATTAAGAATCCTTGGTATCTTAAAATGCACCCCACCCAGGCTCATCTCTCGTTTCTGCTTTCAGTCTCTTGCTTTCCATCAGAGCCTTCCTGGATTTATGTGTCTGTCTTTATGGACCTAAGTGCAACTCACCGGTTTGAGAAATAGGAGATGCTTGTGTTGCACATAGAATTAAACACATTAAAGTGGGCTTTTTATGCTTTCTGGCCTAGGATTTACATCCTTTAAGACCTAGACCAGATCACCACTCCCTCCCTTTCTGATTCTCCTTCTTCATCCCACCCCCCATGTGCATATAACAGGCCATGAAAATTCCCACACCGTCACTCAACAGTTGCAAACAAAAATCAAGACCTTGAAAGTTTAGTTTTACATTTTGCTACATAAATTGGCTATGAATTTGTAATATGCCTGATGTAGTATTCATTCAGTATTAATGAATTTCTCCCTCAAAACTAAGGTGAAATTTCGTAATGGCTCAGATGGAAGTTTGAGAGTAGCCTCTGGTGAACTGATAAAACGTAACTCTCAGTGCCGTCTGGCTCGCCCCTCTCCTCTGCTGCCAGCTGAAAGGGCTACCTGGAAGGATTCATTCATTCATTTACCAAACACTTACTAAGCACCTACTATGTGCCAAACACAGAGAACCTCTGACCTAGAAGGATCAAGATACATATAAAATGACCCAAACAAAGCTAAGGCGTATTTCTTTCTATGTATTCCATACCTTAGAAGTAATAAATCATATACCCTTATGATTGTGATTATTTTTATTACTTACTACACATGAAATGTTTTTCTTCTCGTGTAATTTTAATTTTAACATCACACAACTCTTCACAGTCTTCCTTATAAACAGTATCATTACTTTTACTCTCATCTTTTGCATTAGATACATCTTCTACAGTGTTGACTCCTGGAGAATCCTTGACATTAAAAAAATAGAAATGAGAAAAGAATATATGAAGTATGTTATGTGACCTATACATAATAAATATAAGAAGAGTACATGGAAAAGGTGAAATCTCAGGACATACACAAGGATGGTCACTAGACACGAACATAATGAACTGGTTAGAAGTCTACAAATAAACCTTATGGGTAAATTTTAAGGATCAATAAAAAGTATACATTAATTCAATATTTTTGCTCTCGCCTTTTCTTCCAAATACCAAAAGGATATACTTAGGGTCTACTTTCTATAACCGTGACTCTATGGCCTTTATCCTTAACTTTGGCATGTTTCCACATCTGATACAGCGCTGAGCCAGCCTTCTGCCAAACATCTGGGAATCTGAAGTTCCTTGAACAGAACTAAGAAGGTTCCCTGATTATTCTCCATAGATTACATTTCTATGCCAAATGGACTTTCTGCCAGCAATTATCAGGAATTAGGGGTAGAGATGGATGTGTGGGAGGGCTGTCACTTTTATGTAAGCTAAAGTATTTACAGATTTGAAAGGTAAAGTACTCATTGATTTGAAAGATATCAGAACAGAAAAAAAGCCTGGGATTTTCCTTTGCAAAATCAACAACAGATGTCATCTTGAAAAGCCAGCTACCAGCCGCCGTTCCAAAGGTATTTATTCTTGTTAGTAAATGCTGGTTTTTCTACATAAAACATTCTTTGGTGGAAGTTATACAGATTTAAATAACTGTTTTTAAAAGAAAATAGTAACAAGCTTTATCTTCCTTTGACCTGGATATTGAGAAAAAGGTGAAAAGCTAATCATAGTATGAAAGGTATTTGCCACCTAAAGATGCTTATATTTTGTTACATGGACCTACTTTTAACTTCTTATTCTTTCCCTTCTACTCCTGTAATAATAGGCATCCTAGATGTTTTCAAAAACCTGACAACAACTACATTTTTCCAGATCTAAAATAAGGTTTTTAAATTTTGAGTATTTTAGAGAACTATATTATTATTATTTCTGTAGCTTTCCTAAAATTTATCTTTATGAGACCTTGGAACTTTGGAATTTGGGATTGATATCACGGTAATACATTGTAGAACATTTTAAAATCATAAACCAGTATTTAAATATGTAGAGATTCAAATCCCATCTACTCAGAGTATTGCATATACTTTATTAGCTGTCACTTTCACATTGTTTTAAATGAAATTTTCTAGTTTCCTGGAAAAGGAAGCACAAGACTGTGTTTGAAATATAAACGTTTATAAAATATTTATTTTTTTAAATAACAAAGTAAATTTTTTATTACCTACCAGGTATTTCATTATCAAAGTTAACCAGAAAGTTGCCAGCTGGTTTTTAAGTTAGGCCTGTAATTTCTTTAAAATTTTTTTCACAAGAAATATGTTAAGTGTCAATCCTCAGTTATGGTTTCCTAAGTTTAAAAATAATATTAAAGCAGAATCTCAGCATTTCTAAATACTTTTAAGTTTTCCATAATTATATTGGATGGTACAATTAATCTTTTCAAATTTTAAATATGTATCTTGAAAACTATATAATCATACTTCCTAGGTCAAATAACATTGCTGAAATTCTTACCGTAGAATGATGTACACAGTTACCTTGTATAACTTCTCCACAAATAAAAATAAATGTATTTAAGAATAGAAGTGAAGCTTGAGGAAGATACATCATATTCTTCTTGGAGAAATGAAAAACTTCTTCAAATACCAGTCAGCTCTCTGTGGAAAGAACTACAGTGCATAGAGTCTTCAGTTAAAAACTTCTGGAAAGTGTACAACAAAAACAGAAGCCAAAACTTACTGGTTCCATGCCCTCGTTTGAAACAACACCCTTCATACGAAAAACAAAGTAGCCTCTAGAGATCCTGTCCTTTTTAAGTTATGCAAACCTTTTTTTATCACTACATGCCTGCTTTTAGAATACAGGCAATAACTAGATAAATAAATAAATGGATGAAACGTGAATTTATAAAGTCATCTAATGATAAACTATTCCTCAATAACTGTAAACCAGTTTGCATAAAAACAGTAAGGAAGTAGAAATGAATGATGGAGTAGAAAGAATGTTATATTGAAACTGTTTTGGGGCATCTGGGTGGTTCAGTCCTTAAGTGTTGGACTTCGTCTCAGGTCATGATCTCGCACTCTGTGAGTTCGAGCCCCACATCAGGCTCTGTGCTGACAGCTCAGAGCATGGAGCTTGCTTCAGATTCTGTGTCTCCCTCTCTCTCTCCCTTCCCCCACTTGTGCTCTGTCTCTCTCTCTCTCTCAAAAATCAATAAATGTTAAAAAAAAAAAAAAGAAAAAAAAAACTTTTTACGAAACACCAAGCAGAAATGCAACCAATGTGGACATGCAGGGAAGCTAATTCAGATGTAAAATATGCTTCTACCTATTTTAAATTTAGCCACCAATGATGGTCACACGAATCCTATCATTACCAAATTTTAGAACTCTGATTTGTATGTTTTACATCTGTATTACTAAAACTTCAAAAATTATTAACATAAGGGAACTATTGTTATTGAAAATGATCACTCTCTCAAAGCTGATAGATCAATGTCTGTAATGACTCTTCAAACACTCCCTTACAACAGTTCCTTCTCTTCAGTATAGAAGAGACATGTTTCTATACTGAAGAGTATAGTATTCATTATGCTAAAATAAAATAAAATAATCCAAAACTTTCCTGAGTCTTGCTTCCTATTCAAGGTATTATTTTCTCCATTTCATTTGCCAGCCTCAGAAGTACCAGATGGGGACCACGCCATGGTTTTAATGGCACTAATATAGTGACTGGGACCACAGGCACTAAAATGTTAATTAATGAAATAATATCTTAAACCAGTTATGTATTCTCTGACTTTACTTCCTCACCACCACTGTTTAACCCAACCACTTATCTCCTACTCTCCTGAGGAGTTTGGGCAAGCCAGCTCTGGGACCAATCTGCCTGGGTTTGAACCTTGACTGCACCACTCCTTTGCTCTGGGACCTAATATCACTATAGCTTGATTACTTCCTTTGTAGAATGAGGACAACTGTGTGGATTCGATGATTTTTATACATAAGCACCTACCACAATGCATGACAAAAACAAACATCCAAATGTTAGGTATTACTATTATTACTATTATTTGACTTGATCTATATTGCAGTTCTAACATTGCTGACAATATTGATGACCTTTATCATCTATATTAGGAGTAGATGAGAAGTTACCTCTAATCCTAAATTTCTAGTTGAGATCTTGCAAAATTGTGACACCTATAGCAGAACTTCAGTAATTTTACATCAGCCATCAGATGTTAAAATTCTTCGTTCTTTCACACCTTTCCCAGAGACAAATCCAGGAAATTCTTACCAGAGCAAGAAAATACTTCAGCAGAAGATGCAAAAAATAGCCTCAGTCAAGATGAAAGTGGAAGCTCAAGGACTGTCCATCTCAGGCAGCTTTGTGTAATTCACAAGGTTTTTATGGTATTCAAATTAGATAAGCTATGTGAACATGCTTTGCAACCATAAAGGCATTATTGTTGGTTTCTTTTGTAGATAGAACATCATTAACAACTTATGAGATGTGTGAATGAAGTGGGGTGTCTACTAGACATGTCCTAATCAGCTCATGTCTGAAGCCCAAGTCTTATTCCTCCCCCTTCAACTTGCTCCTCCCCACCTTAGTAACTGGCAATACCTTTCATCCACTTGGTTCAGGCCCAAATCACAGAGTCACATTTGACTTTTTTTTCCACTCACAACCATTTCACTCACTTGCCACAACTATTCATCAAAACATCTTATTGGGTCAAGGTTGAAAATTCTGAGCACTTTTTGGGGCGCCTGGGTGGCTCAGTCCGTTGAGCGTCTGACTTTGGCTCAGGTCATGATCTCGTGGTCTGTGAGCCCAAGCCCCACGTTGGGCTCTGTGCTGACAGCTCAGAGCCTTGAGCCTGCTTCCAATTCTGTGTCTCCCTCTCTCTCTGCCCCTCCCCTGCTCATGTTCTGTCTCTCTGTGTCAAAAAAATAAAAATAAATAAAAACGTTAAAATTCTGAACACTTTTTACCACTTCAATCCCCACCATCTAATCTCTCCCCTGACCTACTGTAATGACATTCAAACTAACCTCCTCATTTCTAGCCTTATCAACTAGAGTCTAAGTTTCCTTATAGCAACTAGAGTGATATATTTCTCTCTCTCTCTCTCTCTCTCTCTCTCTCTCTTTTAAATTTGAGAAAGAGAGAGCATGAGTGAGTGGAGAAAAGAGGCAGAGGGAGAGAGAGAGAATCCCAAGAAGGCTCCATGCTCATCTCGGAGCCAGACATGGGGCTTGATCCCACAACCCTGGGTTCATGACCTGAGCCAAAAGCAAGAGTCTGGAGCTCAACTGACTTAGCCACCTAGGTGCCCCTAGAGTTATCCTTTCTAAAGAGTGACTTACATCATATTTTTCTCATACTCAAAACTCTCCAATGGCTCCCTCTTCATTTGAAGTTGGATATTATACTGATTCCTTGAATACTGTCTAAATCCCTGGTAAGGCTCAAGTACATCCACAAGGCAGTTCTACAATTTCATGTCCTCGCGCACTTCCCCTGCCTCACCCTCTTCTAGACACAGTGTCTTCTCTCTGGTCTACAAATATGTCAAATATAGGTCTTCCCTCAGAGCTTTCTGTATCTACAGCACCCTCTGCCTCTGACATTCTTCATCCAGACATCTGAATGGTAACCTCCGTTCTTCGTTCAGACCGCTGCCCTAATTTCCCTTCTTCTGAGGCTTTCCCTGAGCACCCTACCCAAAATACAGCTGGGTCAGTCTCTGTCCCCTACACTACTCCATCTCTGCTTATAGTGCTTTTCACTCCCTAATATATTCGGAGTGGGGAGGGGAAGAAAAATAAATACAAGCTTCATGAGCATAGGGACTTTGAAGTTTTGTTCACCGCTGTATTCCCAGCACCTAGAATGTGCTTGGCACATAGTAAGTGTTCAATGTATATTTCCTTAATAAAAGAATGAAGTTTATTATTATATAGAATATATCATGGTTTTAAAGTGCAAAAGAATTAAGCATTATATTCAATTCAGATGTCTTCTGACAAAATATAGAGATTTTAGTGTAATATTCTTTTTTATTGCTTGAATCATACTTGACTTTCTGCCAAGAGATAAAGTTGATAACTGCCTCAAATTATCTTTCTATTATCCAAATATCTAATCGTAAAGGCTCTTTCTTTAGAAACTAGGACTATACAAGTCAAATAAACACGAAAACCTAATATTTTGAAGAAATAATTTAAAGGTTAAAAAAATCCTATGATTAAAAAAAAAAAAACAAAAATAACTAGGGTGCCTGGGTAGCCCAGTCAGTTAAGTGTCCTACTTCAGCTCAGGTCATGATCTCACGGTTCAGGAGCCCGTTGACGGGCTGTGTGCTAACAGCTCTGAGCCTGAAGCCTGATTCAGATTCTGTGTCTCCCCTCTCCGACTCTCCCCTGCTCGTACCTGCCTCTCTCTCTCTCTCTCTTAAAAAAAAAAAAAAAAAAAAACTAACAACGCTGTTTAAATTTTCTTTTCTTCTTGGTCATCATTGTAAAGCAACATTTGAACAAAGAATGATTATATAAACAAGCATTTCCAGGCAATTGAGAAACCAAGCCTTGCTTCTTAATGCTAATAAACCATGCAACAAAGCACAAAAGTGCCAGACTAATAACAAAAGTTAGACTTTCGAGAAGTCTAAGCATGACTAAATACTCCACAGGAGTACTTAGTCCCACAACAGCAACCACAATCTTCTGTTGTTTGCACTGTGTGTGCCCTGCCCGCTTTTCTTCCTCTCTTTCAAATAGGCCCTAGAGAGACAGACTTGTGATGATAGGTCAGCGCCCTGGCTAGGCTGGTCTAAAACTTGCCAAGATAGCTAATGATCCATGTATGCACAGTTAGCCTCCCTTTGTCAACATTATACATTCTATCCTCTAGGCATGGTCCTGAAGGGAGCTTATGTGTTCTGTGTTTTAAGTCAAAGCTGGATATGTTGTGGCACTTTAAAATCTCCGTCACCAGATGACATTTTTGAGTCACTGCATCCAACTTGGCAAAAACGGTTTTAAATAGTTTCAACTGGAAAAGTTTATATTTGAACTCCAAAAATGAACAAACTGATTCACAAAGGCAGAGGCATTTTAATGGTGGATGAGTGATTTTTATTTGGTTTGTACATTCTGCCTCCAGTCTGGGAGTTTTTCCACCGGAGGGAAAAAAAAAAAAAGAACCCTGGCTGAAACAGAATTTATATGTACTTTTCTAATGAGCTCCAACAAAAAGTTGCAGCCTTTTTTTCAAAACTTCACTAGCAAAGCCATTACATTAATGGCCCTAAACTCCATTCTGTTCTCCACGCCCCCTGCAGCAATGTCAGCGTGGTGACCACCGTAGGCACATCCTCCCGGGGGATCTGTGTCCAGGCCACACTGGGGTGGTCGGCTCCCAGCGTCTGGCAGCGAGACACGCAGCGTCCGGAGCCTCTGAAAGGCAGACCTTTCCAGCGGGGAGCTGGCAGACAAGAAAGAGACTGCGGAGGGACTGGCCGAGCATCCCGGAGCGGCGCGGGGATTCGGGGCAAGGAAATTTCCACGTCAGCAAACCTTGTCAGGGATGCTGACTCC